AGGGAGGAGAGAGGAGAGGGAGGAGAGAGGAGAGGAGAGAGGAGAGGGAGAGAGGAGAGGAGAGGAGAGAGAAGAGAGGGGAGGAGAGAGGAGAGGAGAGAGAAGAGAGGAGAGGAGAGAGGAGAGAGAAGAGAGGGGAGGAGAGAGGAGAGGAGAGAAGAGAGGGGAGGAGAGAGGAGAGGAGACAGAAGAGAGGAGAGGAGAGAGAAGAGAGGGAGGAGAGAGAAGAGGAGAGAGGAGAGGAGAGAGAAGAGAGGGGAGGAGAGAAGAGAGGGGAGGAGAGAGGAGAGGAGAGAGGAGAGAGGGAAGGAGAGAGGAGAGGAGAGGAGAGAGGAGAGAGAAGAGGAGAGAGGAGAGGAGGAGAGGCTGAAACATGTGAAGTTTTTTAGATTCTATTGTTTTCCAATCTTTGTAAAATAAATGATCAAATAAATTAAACTTGTTTCTTTCTTTTTAATGACTGATGTCATCATAACTGTTGTTCTGCACTAAAGACATGTTCTAGTTCTACTTCTAGGGTACATCCCAAGTCTCTTAATGTCATCCCTGTTTCCCTCACTTGGGTCCTTTCCTTGCGTCTTAGTCCCTCCCACCAGGGATGCATGGAGGAAACCATGCGAGGAGAGAGGAAACGAGGAGATATGTTTTAGGAGACATGAGACGTCCTTTCCTCAGTTCCGTCACGTGAAGCGACGTCTGTTTCTGATGACAGCTGATCAGCTGATGACAGCTGATCAGCTGTCAGTCGGCTTTAACAGCTGGAGAGACTTTTGATAAGTTAGTGTGTGTTCACATGATCACTGTACTTAATAACAGTAACTAATAACACTAATAACTCATAAAGACACAGTAATCACCACTGTAGAGGTGTTTCTCTCTGTAGTCTGTTAAACTGTGTCCTGTGTTCTGTGTATAAGCTCAGGATCCATTTCTACCAGCGGAATGCGATCGTCTTATTTATGAATTATTTGCGTCTGTACGTTTTGAAATTGTGACGTCATTATTAAATAACCCAGAATATGATTATTGTTTCTCTTAAATGATAAAACTCATCAAACACTCAGGAATGATGTAAAAAGTGTTTAGTCTCTCAGCTCTCTCTGACTTTAATTGTTTCCATATTAAAGTTATTGAGGGAAACATCAGATCATGAAAACACAAATCTTTCTAATAAATGCAGAAAGTTGTTTGTGGTCCTTTTGTTGTTCAGTCTACAATGAACATTTATTTAAACCAGATGTTGAATCAGAAAACATATCAAATATAAAGCTTGAGTTTAATCTGTGATCCGTCTTCACTCTGGTGTTAAAACTCAGTCAGTCAGTCCGATCACATGACTGATGAACAATGAGGGGGCGTGTCGGCCGTTAAAACACTTCCTGGAGTCTGTTCTGGTGGGTCCTCGCTCATGGCTCCTCAGAGGTCCCTCCTCCCTCCTCCATCCTCAGAGCTACTTTAGAGCTTTGGGACAGCCATCAATATGGCGGCGCAGAAACAACTTCCGGTTCAAGCGAGGATCGAGGAGCGAGGAAACGACACTTAAGAGACTTGAGAAGTACCCCAAGTCATCATAGTTCTGTTCCATAGAGGAGCAGGACTTTTATTTTGAAAATCAAGACTGGAGCTTGACGGGAGAGAAAGTGCTTTGTGATCAGAAGGTTAATAATAAACGAGGGTGTGATTCTGACTTTTGATTGTTTTTGTTCACATATGAATAAAAAGGATACATTTCCTCAAAGCAGTCGATCTGTGGAGGCTGCAGGATGTCCAGCGCCGACAGAACCTGCAGAGACAGAACAACAACAGTTAATGTCGCTTTCATCCCGCTGACCTCAAACGCCTCGTCTCCCTCCTTACGTTGTCGTGTTTGAAGAAGCAGAGCATCCTCAGCTCTCTGAAGACCCTCTTACAGGAGACCAGGTTCTGGAAGACGTTGGGCATCTTCTTCAGAGCCACTTTACGACCGTCTCGTGGATCCGTGACGGACCTGAACGACGGTTCAGACACAAAGTCAGAATTCATCTGCCGCTAAAGTTGATCTGTAATCTTTTGAGGTATTTTTATGCGTTAAAATCAAACATTTGTTGGTTCTTTTCTTAACACACGTGAGGATCTGCTGCTTCTCTGTGTTTCATACGATAACTAACTGAATGTTTGGACTGTTGGTGAAGAACATTTAATGTATTCATTGAGAAAATAACTGGAAGATTAGTCGATAACGAAAATAAATCTAAAGCTTTTCATGTTTCTTTGTCTTTCATCTGATTTACTGGATTATTTTCATTGCTGATGATCACGTCTGTTAAACATAATTCACGTCAGAGAGCTTTTACACTTGTGTGTGTGTGTGTTAGTGCAGCTGAAGAAGTAAGTTAATCATTTAATATTATTCTATTTTTTTGTATATATTGTTCATTTTTATGTTTAATATTTTTTAGTCTGTTATTTTTACTGCTTTGCCTGCATCTATAAATGCTCCCCTTGTGGGATTAATAAAGAAAGTAACTATCCCTCCGCCTGTCTGTCCATCCATCCATCCATCCATCCATCCATCCATCATCCAGAGAAATGAAATGAAGATAACAACAGAGACTCTTCAGCCCCTTAAAGCTGCTCATCATGAGGAGATTGTGATTTATTTTAAGTCAACATCAAGCTAAACACCGGTAAGATCCTTAATAATGTTTCTTTACCAGACGACACCGAAGGCTCCGTAACCGATGGGCCGGTCGGGCTCCATCTCTGCGGGGCTCGGCACCTCGCTGGCCGGGTTGCTGTAGGGCTGAGGCACCGCCGCCCCTCCCCCGGCGCTCCCCCCCATAGCCGTGGGGTGGCGGGGCGTCCCGGCCGGAGCGGTGGGCCCGGTCAGGCACGGGGTGGCGCTGAGGCCCGTGGACGGAGCTCCACAGGAGGAATTCACACAGAAATACTTGTGGCCCAGGTCGGAGCCCGGAAACAAGTCTCCACAGACGGTCTGACGGCCGGCGCCGTGAAATGCCATCACTCCTCTCACCAAAACCCCAGAAACAGTCCGCGATGTCGGCACCAAGCTGCTGCTGCTGAGCGGCTAGGAGACGAGGAAACACGGATCCACACTCAGCATGATCCCGTAGACTCCTGAGAGGGAATACAGGAACACAAACCTAAGAGTCAGAGTTTTACTGCGAGAACTTCAGCAGAGAATTCATCTGCAACTCATGTTATTTCTTTTACATGATAAACTAAATATTTGGGAACATGTGATGGATATTTAATTGATGGTGAACATAAATTGTAAAATCTGTAGATAATAAAAATTAATAATTGCAGACCTACCATGCAGAAAATTAGGATTAATAATATGATGGATGGATAAGATAATGTTTTGATCAAAGAGAGATCCGGTAGTTCACAAGACACATTCAGGAACACAGAATAGAAACACAGGTAATGTAATAGAGTATGTTCTAATGGAGATAATGCTAATTAAAGGTCATTGAAAAGTAAAAACTGTGCAAAAAGAATTATTCATTATTAATTCATAATGTATTTTTTTCCAGAAAAGGGTGATGAAAAAGTTAAAAAAAGACCTAAAATAATGATTACTCTGGTGAATATAAAATAAAAATACAAAGTAAATATATGACACAAACATATAAATATAAACAAATAAACATGTACACAAAAAACACATTAAAAGCCTAAAAACACGTTGATTTAATATCACATTCACACACTTTTAATGAGCTACGTCACCATTGTATTTGTCTTTGCTCTTACCTGGTTGATTAGTGAAGCTAATCGGTTAGCTTAGCTAGCAGGATCACAGCTAGCGAAGCCGACGATGGTCCAAAATATTAAAGATAAATAAATGTTCCACTCGATAACCTCAGATATACTAGCTGGAGAGTAATCCTCACTTAACACACGCATGTGATTAAACGTTATTGTTTTTATTTATGTTTTAAATAACGGATACATTAAAAGATAAAACCCAGCTAGCTGCCGTGCTAACCAGCTGTCCGTGCTAACATGTCTATGACCCACATAACTAGCATTGGTTGGAAACAGTGACCTACATATTAAAAAACATATTTTGATAATTTAATTAATTCACGTATAGAGAAAAGCCCGGTTAAATTAAAGAGGGCATGTGGCGCAGAAACATATTTTTAAAAAAAGGCCGAAATAAACCGAGTTATTTGCGGGTCTAGCGGAGCTGCTAACTCCGGCTAGCCGACCAGCTAGCTAGCAGCTAGCTCTGGACTGCTCGCTAGCTGGTCATCGCGTCGTGATATCCAACCAAACAAGCGTCCCATAAAGATGATGGTTTGTTGTGATTTCATGGATGAATATGCGTCTCATCCAGGAGGCCGTATGGTGCTCTGCAGTATTATATATATATATATATATATATATATATATATATATATATATGTATTTAAAGATCTCCGGTCGCTTCCACACAGCGGCTAGCTGGTTAGCTTGTCCAGTAGGAGGAGCTGGTACAGCCGGGTGGGGGAGGGGTTGATGCTGTAAACAATGCTAATACGTTAGCATCTCAGCAGTGCTGGAGGAAGTATCCGGGTACTTTACTTGAGTAAAAGTACTAATACCACACTGTAAAAATACTCTGTTACTAGTAGAAGGCCTGCTTTCAAAACTGTTACTTTAGTACAAGTACAAATACGACACTGTAAAAATACAGCAGGTACCGAGTATGCCTGCAGTATTACATGTAGTTTTGTGTGGAAAATAAATCATAAATTGTAAAATGTTTAAGCTGTCAGATAAATGTACTGAAGTAGAAGTACAAAGTAGCAGACTCAAGTAAAGTACCTCAAATGTGTAACTCAGTACATTTACTCAAGTGCTGTACTGAGTTACAATCCACCACTAAAAATCACCGTCAACATCATTTCAACCTGAATCACACATTTTACTGCTCTTTTTTAATACAGTAGTAACGAGGCGCTATGCATCAAGTACAATCAATATGCACAGCCACAGAAATGTGTCACCAAGGTGGCTAAGAACTACAGTTTAACTTGTTCAAGAATTACAAATCAGCATCAAGAGACGGAGCGAAGACCATATGAAGCAGAGGAGCTATGCACATTCAATGTTCATGGGGGGGGGTACACAAACAACTATTAGTTTGCCTTTATCAGACATATATAAAAAGTGTATTTACATGATGGCCCGTCTGAAACAGTCGATCTGGAGTCCTGTTGGGTTTCCCTGCTCTGAAGACTCTGACAAAGGCAAACTGGAGACTGTTTAGTAATAAAATAAGGGAGATAAAGTCCTGTTATCGTACGTCTTTATAAACAAAACACTGACATCATGGAACATAAATGATTTAAAAACACTTTACAAAATCAGGATAGAATGTGGGCGACTGGCTAAGTGGAGAGCAGGGCTGTCCTTCAATCAGAGGATCGGCGGTTCGATCAAGACACTTAACCCCAATAATGTCTCCCGTAGCTGTTCTATGGTGTAGAATGTGATAGAATCTGAATTGTAAGTCGCTTTGGATAAAAGCGTCTGCTAAATGTAATGTGCAAGTCAGTCGACAGTTAAAACAACGAGATGATGACAAATAGAAACAGCTAATCGCTGAGCCACGTGAATAAACACACATCGTTTTACTACTTAATGAGTGAGCAGAGGTCTCCTTATTGTCTTCTTCTCCACTGTCTCTTTCCTGTCTTTGACTCTTCTGTACAGTTCGCAGAGTGAGTCTCTCAGTGTTCGTGAGAGATCAGCTGTTTGGAGGTAAAAGGTCCGAAAAGACTTGTTGTCCTCACGAAACCATGAATAACGAGGAGGAGGAGAGACGATTTACACGGCAGCTTCTCTCAGTCTGACTTTAGTTTGTTGAGAAAACATCTGGAGAGTCAAAACAAAAAGCATGTAAATAAAACACACAATACCATCATGAGGGGCCGACCAGGCACAGGGGCCCAGAGTGTCAGAGGCCCCCCCCCCCGGCAAAATATCAACTCAATGAGACACATAGCAACCAGGAAGAGACACAAAGAAACATGATGCAACTACAAAGAGACACAAAATGAACACGAATAGACATCAGATGACAACAAAGAGACACAATACAAGAACAAAACAGTCCACAAAGACACATAAAACAACTACAAACAGACACAATAGACTACAAAGAGACATAAAACATATATACAGATGTATTCTCAGATTATAAAAACACTGTTGGATTCATGATGGACAGTAAAAAAAATTAAAATAAAATAAAGATCAAAATCGATGCAGCAGAACCAGAGATATCGTCTGTTTATGCCACACATTCTTCTTCCCTGTCAAAACCTGGCGCCTACATTACCCACAATGCCGCAGACGGTTTGTGTGGTAGATTGTGGTGTTATGCTAGTAGCAGCACAGATGAGCAGCAGCTACAGACGTCTCACTTCTTTCGAATTTTTTACTTTTCAAACTTGTAGTCTTCAACCGACGCTGACTGAAGTGACGTCGCTCGAGTCTAATGGCGTCGCTCGAGTCTAATGGCGTCGCTCGAGTCTAATGGCGTCGCTCGAGTCTAATGGCGTCGCTCGAGTCTAATGGCGTCGCTTGACTTAAGTGACATCATGTGAGGACATTTATCACACAGCTCCGTCTGGAGAAAGTGAAAGCTTCATAAAACAGTGAATAACATGTTTACAGACTAAAAATTCACACACCTATGTTGGATGTTGTCTCTCCTCCTCGTTTAACCTGCACCCCCCCTCCCCCCCGTCGCCCTCCCAGCGTGCTAGCTGTGGGGCGGGGGGCCGATGCCGGAGCAGTCAGTTACTAGCAGTCCCACCGCGCTAGCACTGGACACGGTGACGGCCACGCCGGTGGTGCTCGTGGGGTCCTGGACGGGGTCTCCCTGGCTGGCGTGGGTGCCCATGTGACCCTGGAGCTGCGTGGCTGTCTTGCACTGCACGCCGCACAGCTGGCACAGCAGCACCCCGCCGGCCCCCGTCCCACCGAAGCCCCCTCGCGCCCCGCCGCTCTCCTTCCACTCCTGACCGTGGTGCTTCTGAGCGTGGACCCTCAGGTAGGTGAGCGTGGTGAAGCCTGGAAAACAAACACTTCCTGTTTGTTATTTAGTCTCTTCTGCTAGAGAAAGAACGTGATGAAGTTATTATTTTGTCGTCTTTTCACACGCTGTTATTGTGACTCACTGCGGTTGCAGAGGTGACAGGCGTGGTGCTGCGACTGGTTGTGGACCCTCATGTGGTCGGTGATGTAGGCGGCGGACAGCAGCTTCCCACAGATGTGACACGGAACCTTCTCCTCGTGGCGGATCAGGTGAGCGCGGAGTCGATCCCGCGTGGCGAACGCCGACGTGCACGTCTGTGGGGGGGGGGGGGGGGGGGGGAGAGTGCACGTAGACGTGAAGCGAGAGGAGAAAGAGAGGGCAAATCAAATGTAGGATTGTGTAACATTTAACGTTTTCATCATACAGTAAATTCTAGATTAAATTAACAGAAAAGGACAAATCAGGTTAAGATCCAGTAAATTGAGCTGATAAAACACAGATATTAGAGGATCAATCTTCAATATACACAATATATAAATATCTCTTAGATACTTTCATCATCTCACAGTTCACGTCTCCATCTGGTCAAACCACAAAGAGAAGTACTGCCGAGTAACACAAGTATCAGAAATATACGACATGCTGGAGAAAAGTAACATTCAGAGATTTATGAGATTCAAGTCGTCAATTTATGAGAAAAAACAGTGAAAGACGGATCTCATGTTACGTGTTCAACACGCTGAAGACTAAACTCTCGATCAAATAAGCAGAAAAGGACGTCTGTCGCAAATATCAGAGGAAACGACGCCATGTTGGAGAAAAGTAACATTCAGAGGATTTATGAGGAAAAGAAATTTCTGAGATTAAAAAATCACAAATTTTAGAAAAAAAAAAAGAAAAAAAATCTCTGAGATTAAAGTCATAAATTAAAAAATGGTAAAAAATGTTTGTTTTTTAAAATCAAGGAACCGTACGGCTTCACCTTGGTTGGATCTCATGCCGCCTGATAGACAGGAACATCACACGTCAGTGTTTCATTGAGGATCGGTCCGGTTCATTGATTCCTTCTGAATGAGACGTTGGTCCTCAGACGTAACCTGAGACGACCATGTTCATGATGTTAAGAACCGTTTCCTTCTCAACGTCTGGATGCTGACGATAAAGTGGTGACTCTGAGCTGAAACCACGTGTTTGTTGATCGATCACAAAGTATAACTTGATGAGTGAACACGCATCACGTGACCTCAGAGTGAAGCCTTGTTTTCAACCAAAACTAAAAACACAATTTCTCGTAAATTTGTGATTTTATAATCTGAAGGAATATCGAGTTTTTCTCGTAAATGTATCACTTTTAGTTCAGATTATATCGGTGATTACTTTTTCTTTTTATAATTTGAGAGATTTTATTTAAATTTAAGTTTTTCCTTTATTTTCCTTTATTTATAAATAAATTGGTGAATGTCCCTCTTTAACCTAATAAAGAGTCATTTCTTGGTATATTACCCTCTTCCCCGGCTCAGTAATTATTTTGTATTTCTTTACCAACAATAATCCCTGTAGACTCAGAGATAATATACATCAAGTAAACAATTTAAAATCATTTGTTTTTATTATTATTTATTAGAGCACTTCAGTGCTGATCCATTGTATTTCATTTGTCTAAAGCTTCACATTGATGTTTAGTACGTGACCATGAGATAAAAACACCTCATCCTCCTCATCCAGTGCCTCGTGCTCTCTGTGATTCACAAACACATATTGGTTGAACTCCAGTAAACAGACAGATGAAGACGTTACCGTGCACTTGAACGGTCTCTCTGTAGAGTGCACCTGCCGGACGTGACTGTTGAGGTGATCCGGTCTGAAAGAAAAGAAACCAAACAGCTGTTACTAAAAACCACCGCATGGTTTTACCTCCAACACCACAATCAAGACTCTGTGTGTCTGAATGTAAGAACTAAACCAGAGACAAAGAGAAGAAAGCTGGAAGCTGAGATTTAAACAGGAGCAGCTTCCTGTTTCAGTGTCAAGAGTTTCACAATAAAAGCAGACATAGGAAGGTCCTTCTTTGCTCCCAATAGGACGCATATATCAGTGTCTGTATGAGCAATATAAATACTCACATTATATTTCCTACCTCATATGTGCAATAATATGCATCCAACCACTCGATCTGAGTAAATACTGTTTTGAGCTTTTGTTGTTTTTTTACAATTGACTTATTTATTCTACCTTTACTGAACATTTGCTGTGCTTGTTTTGTTGTGTTTATTTTTCTACTAATGTCTCTCATTGTTTTGTCCACTTTGCTGCTGTAATCCTGCACATTTTGATTATCTTATTAAGAGGCAACGTGTTAGTTAGTCTCAGGTTAAACAGTCTAATCACAGTTTAAACCTCTTCAATCAATATTTACAGTTCAATATCAAGTTCAACAGGACTTTCACATGCAAATAAAACATCTTGTATCTGACTTAAACTGTTTGTATCTGTTAGAATAGTTATTATTAAAGAGACAATATTAATGTATTAACTTTAAGCCACTACTTGCAGTGAGGACAGAACCTGTCCTACGTTTTAAAAAGGTCCCTGAATGTCTCATTGTGTACCGGGAGAAGGCCTTGGCGCAGTGAGGACAGACGTAGGGTTTCTCCACGCTGCCCTGGTGTGAGCGGACGTGGTAGCTCATGCGGTCTTTCCTCTTGAAGCGCTGCTGGCAGACGGGGCAGGAGTACGGCTTCTCGTCCGAGTGGGACAGGCGGTGGCGGTTCAGGTGGTACACGTCCCTGAAGGCCTTCCCGCAGGCCTCGCAGGCGTGGTTCTTCCTCACCTGGTTGGCGTTGGGGTGGCGGTTCAGATTCTGTGGAAGAGACGTTAAGAAGCTTTTTAAAATCAACACGAGAAGAAACGTACAGGATGTCTAAGACAGAGAGGAGCTATGATGATCCGTATTATCAGATACGGATCCCTTTGATGTGTGATTACAGCAGCTGGTCTACAAGGATCCAGAATATTTATTTATTTTTAAACCTGCAAAAAAGTTTTATTTTTTCTATAATTAAAAGTCATCAACCAACCATGTTGTGAGGAGCGGACGTATTCAAAACGGCAAACTTTATTAATTGTCAACGTTGACAAACGGCAGCGCAGACCCACTTCCTCTGTTTTCTTTCACAATAAAAGCCCGAGACATATATCACTAAAAAGGTATTTTTATGGAAAGATAAAAGGTGAATGAAGCCCTGAATGGTCTCCAACGTCTCCCAGAGGACCCACCTGCTCCATGGAGCCCACCACCACAACAGCTGCCTGGATGGGTTGAGGCGGCGCAGCCATGGACACAGAGACCGGCTGGCCCTGTTGGATGGTGGCGTGCTGGGGGAGGGTCTCCTGGGCCGGAGGAGGAGGAGGAGCAGGAGGAGGTGGAGGAGGCAGAGTGAGGTGGAGGAGCGACAGAGGGACGGTCTGCTTCTCCACCCGTCCACCTTTGACTCCATCCTCCTTCTCGCGGGCCACCCGGTCCTTCATCTTGATGCCCGTGTGTACCGACTGGTGCCGCCGCAGGTTGTAGCTGTTCTTGAACTCCTTGTTGCAGGTGGCACAGATGTGGGCGGGTCGACCGGGTTTAACGAGCAGTTTGACTGAAGGAGAGACGGAGGAGAAGATGTTTACTTCTACATCTTCATCGGGTTTAGAGACGTCATGTTATGAGAACTCGTGCATCGTGAAGAGGCCGCGCTCACAGGTGTGAAGATATTGATCTGGTTTGTAGCGTTGTGCTGATTTTACGACACTAAACTAACAACCTGGTGAACTACTGACAACAGTTATCTCTTCTAACCGCGTCTGTTTACATCGAGGTGGAAACTGATATGTTGATTAATGTGCTCTGTTCTGGTAAATGAACAAGTGAGTGAATGAGTGAATATTATAGTTTTGTACCACTGACCCCATCATTTATATGGTTTATTTATTTATGTGTAACTTTTAATTTAACTGAATGTTTTTGTATGTTTTTCTTACAACTCATTCATCATTTTTGTTTATTTCATTTTTTCCGTTTATTGTATTTTTAAATATTTAATTATCTTTTTTGCGTCTCACTTACATGAAAGTGTTTAAGAAAAAGAATCAGTTTGATTACTACACAGTGTACTAATACTTTAATAGTGAAACAACAAGAGAATATTGTATCTCTGTGTATATGTGTATATATGTATGTATATACATACACATACATATATACACATATATTTTACATGGTGTACATAATAGTCCTGTCTGTTCTTTACCTGTTTATCTCTGATGTCCTTCTGTGTGTTCACAGATTCTGAGCTTTGAATTAATAATCAATTAGTTTTTAAGTTTCTAAACCTTTCTGATGTAAATCTCCTGTGTGTTGAATGTTGTGTATAAATAAAGTTTTCATATAAGTTACAAAATAAAACATATCATGTGATCACCATCTCTCTCCATGCCCCCCCCCCCCTCACCAGGAAGTGGCTCCTCGCTGAGGGCGGCGGTGTCGACGGTGGACGGCGGCGTGTCGAGCTGCTCGGCTGGAGGAGTCTGAGCCGATCCGCTGAGATCAGACTGAAGAGGAGCCTCAGGCTGAGTGTGAGCCACCGGGGTCTGAGGGGGGGGGCATTATGAATAACATTACAAATACATACTGTTATTAATATCAATATTATGAATAATAATAATATTATTTAGTTATGATAATACAGTTATATCATATTTAGTTGAATCATATTATTAATATTAATAAGTATAACACAAATATTAATCATCCATCCTCCTCCTCCGCTTATCAGGGGTCGGGTCGCGGTGGCAGCAGCCCAGCAGGCTGACCCAGACCTCCCTCTCACCGGCAACATGTTCCAGCTCTTTCTGGGGGATCCCGAGGCGTTCCCAGGCCAGCTGGGAGATGTAATCCCTCCAGTGTTCTGGGTCTTCCCCGGGGTCTCTTCCCAGTTGGGCGTGCCGGAAAACCTCCAGTAGGAGGCGCCCAGGAGGCATCCTAATT